CATTATAAACATGTGATCTATATTATATATTGAATGGAAATTATGAGACAATCCTTATAAGTCTGTGAAATACATATAGTAATTTTAGATCTTGGTAGATTCTATATTTAGCATCATTGAATCAAATTTAAAGTGCTGTGTTTTGCAAGTTTTGGGCTCCAAAATAAATAGGTCACTGGTGAAATTCACTGGCTCGGCAGGTGACTCATAGGTCTCCAAGGAAACCGTCATCTTTAAATCAGTTTTTTAACCACACACTCTAACAATTCAAAGCGTATGTGTCTGTTTAAGTGAAAGCAAGAATTTTAATCCTTTCAATGTAAGTATAGCTTTTGTTTTTGTTATTGAAATAATTAATAATGTGAAATACACAACATTGTAATGGCCTGCATGTAGGCTTTCAAATTATTGGTACCAGGTAGCTGATTAAACAATTGTAATTGATGACGACCTTAACTTTTATAGGAATTGGCGGGCTTGAACAGAGCAGATATGTCCGGATCTGTAAGTGAACGCAAGAATGTTAACCAGTGAAATGTAAGTAACTATTTTGTATTTGTTATTAATAATTACTAATGTGAAATTCAATTTTAAGGATTGCTTTAAAAATATGTGTGATGCTGATGAACATTTGAAAATACTATTTTAATTGATGACAATCTTAACGTTTGCAGGAATTGCCGGGATGGAAAAACCCTCTTCACTCTGAGACTATTGATGTGGCATTTCTGTATATGGAAGGGACTGATTTATATGTGTGGGAAACATGGATTCTAAGAACAGATAAACAACAGAAAAAGTGATAAGTGATGCAAATATGACCTTTCAAAACTCTACAGTTAGAACTTGAAGACTCTTATATCAAAGTGATATTTAGTAGTGGACATAATGATGTGGAGTGTACTTTGAGAAACATTGAACTTTCTACCTCTTCCCTTTTTAGTTACATTCCATGGAATACTTTAATGAAAGTGAAAGTGGCAAAGAATATATTATGATACATTTTAGGAGGAAAAAAGTATTTGACCAAACATGGTGAAATTAATTGTGTCGTATAATCTGGGAAATAAAAATTACAGAATTTAATTTATTTTGTATAAGACATTTGTATTGAGGAATAATTGTGTCATTGATATTTCAATAATCAGCTTTGTATCAACGTTGAACCAACGTAATAACTATATTTTGAACTGAGGTCCAATGTAGGGCCAACGTTACAAAATATTTGGTTAGCATCGGTACATTGGAATAGCGTTGTACCAACGTTGGCATTTCAACAAAAGCGTTGTACCAACGTTGGACCAACGTCGGACCAACGTCATGATTATATTTTGAACTGAGGTCCAACGTTGGGCCAACGTTAAAAAAATATTGCGTTGGCGTTGGTATGTTGGAATAACGTTGTACCAACGTTGACAAATGAACAAACAGTATTGTACCAACATTGGCCCAACATGTTGGGCCAACGGCGCGCCAATGAGCAGTAAGACATTGGGCCAACGTAAAACTGCCAACATTGGCCCAACATAACTGACATTGTTTGGCCAACGTTGGGCCAATGTCCTCATGCTATCTGGGTGATCACTACTGTAAACAAAACATTCATCTCGCCGTCTTCTTTAAAAAATTTTCCAGATTCGATCCCTTAGATTGACTGAAAAAACAACTTTAGTTAACCGAAACCGAAAGCAAAATCATTTTATTCGTATACAGAATAAATAATGCCTATGAATATATCTGTTCACAAAAAATAATTCTTTCTGACAAGACAATTTTTTTTTCAATACACTTACTTTGCTATTGCTTACCTTTAATACCTGTTTATTAGACAGTATTCTCTGTTCAACTGCTAACACTGCTAATGAGCAAGCGGAAATGACGAATATCATAAGGAGCACTCAAAGGATCATGTGATATAAAACTTTTTTTGTTCGAAAGCAAAAGTAGAATTTTCGGAAAATGGATGGATGGCTAGAGAATAAGGGTCAATTAATTACTAAAATATTTATAAATGCTTATATATTAATAGATTATTCGTGAGAACATTAGCTGTGACCCTTTGTGAAAGCATAATTGTAAAGTGCGATTGCACTTATGATACATGTATGTAATGGTGCATGTGTGAATTGTTTATTGATGTTAACTTTCTTAAAGCAATATGAGCTACATTTTGAAAAATTTATATTGTTGTTAAAGTTTGTTATTATGATAAATTTGTATGTAATGAAAACATTTATGATCAATTAGACTACAAGAAAACAGAAGAAAGAATCCTATATACAACCCAAAACAACAACCCGAACAACTTAGAGAAGTTTATTAATGTTCTTTTTTCTGTCATTGAAATAGTTATTTACAATTTTGCAAAAGAATATCGACATCAAAGTGCAGCTCATATTTCTTTAAAAATTATCTACACATGTAAAATTCACAATATTTATATGATAATGACCACAGTTTTGTCTATCATATTTTCATTCGGTAAGCACATTACAATAACCATAGATTGTAACTTTAGATTAGGTACTTAATGTAGATCTATAGGAAATTGTTTGATCGGACGCATATATTGGGTTTCCCAGAGCAAAACCATGGTATAGTGGACATTCTATCTATAATATTGAAGGGTATCCAACTCCTATTCGTACTTCCTCCTATTCCACAGAATAAAATTTAATACTTTCACAGATTCTTTACTGTATAATGCCATTGTGTACCTCCTATTTTACTTTTCAACCCGAAACTTACATGTATTTTGGGTCTCCCATAGCAAAACATGAACTTTGCCATTATAACCATTTAGGAGGTGGATGATATTATTTAGTGAGCTCATTGCTCACAATACCTCTATTTATACTTCCGCTCGAAAATCGAGAGTGTATATAGTGATCTATGTCGATGTGTCTGTTTGTTTGTTCGTCTGTTACGCTTTGGGGTACCCATCTCTTGTCTGCAACTCCTCTTATACCACTGAATGAAATTAAGTGAGACTTTCACAGAATATTTGTTACATACAGCCATAGTGCATCTTATATTTTACTTTTTGATCGGACACATATTTCGGGTGTCATTGAGCAAAGCATTGACACTGACATTTTTTCTATAATATTGAGGGGTACCCATCTCTTATTCGCAACTCCCCTTATATCACTGAATGAAATTTAATGATACCTTCACGGATTCTCTATTACATAATGCAATTTTGCACTTTCTATTTCACTTTTTGATCTGGCAATTTGATCTGACATTATAATCATATGGGTGACGGTGCCGGGGGTATCATTTAATGAGCTGAATGTTCTCAGTACCTCTAGTTTTTCTGCATCAGCTCGAATATTAATTACAATACTAACAAACAAAACATTTTAAGTAAAAGTTACCTCAATCGATAAGCTTAACTGTATTATGAGTACAAGTGTTTGATTTGCTCTGTCCAAGAAATCATCGAAGGTCACAAATTGACGTTATTATTACATGTATCATACGATAAAGTTGTCCTGATGATAACACATTTACTTAAGACAACAAAGTCGAAAGCTTGATTTGATAATTTTATCTTCTTGAATGATAGGTGCACATGAGTCATGTGCAAGACTCAAATTCATATCAAGGTATATTTATTTATCATTTTATTCTGTATAAGCAAAGATCATAAAACCAAAATTGTGGTAATCAATTGTAAGATCTTGTTCTTACTATCTAATTTGTTTTTATTAACAGAAGAAATATTTCAAAACTAAAATCCCTTAAAAGGTTTGCCAGAAATGATAAATTTAATGAAATCTAATCATAACAATGAAGTTATTTGTATACCCCCTCCCCACATTTTAACAATGACATTACGTAACAAAAAGAAGGTATCATCACAATGGCACTATATAACAATTCTGTGAAAATCTCATTGAATTCCAATCAGTGGTATAAGAGGAGTTGCCCTAGTGATCAGGTAATCGGTAAAAAGGACATTCAGTACTCTGCGCAAATGCGTTCTATGGTACGAATGCTCGTGCGAGTCATACCGGATATATTCACTAGGAAATCTGATGACTGTAATATATAGAGGATATATATATTATGTGATTTGATATTGGCTTTATCCAACGAGTTGAAATGTTGTATATATTCGGAAGGCATGCCGAGCGAATATACACCATTTCAACGAGTTAGATAAAGCCATTATCAAATCACACAATTATAGATGTTCTATTTATCTCATACGACTTTCGTTTTAACAAAACCTTGAGACTTCCCCTGCGTAACTACATGAATAATTGCTTATTCAAATTGATGACGTTTAACTTGATGACGTAGCACCGTTGATGTTGACATGCTTCGAAAGAAAGTAGATCGTGTTCAAAATTTAGAATTTTTGCTATCTGCGTCTTTGACAACATCATGTGACAATTGCTGGAGCTTTACATCAAACGAACTTCTGACTGAAAGTTGTAAGGACCATGGGATCGTGAAAATGAACTCTCTGGACGATGGCTGTACAAAACGTGTTAGGCAAGGCTAGCTGGGTTCATTTTGTTGATCCACGATAAGTTACACATACATTACTTGGTAGGCATACGTAGTATAATAGAAGAAAGCATTATTGAAGTTGTTAAGGGATTCTTGTAACAACAACTTAACTGCTAGGCTTTACTTTCTCCGAAAACGATTTAAAAGGGGGGGGGGTAACATCTGTCTTCAAGTAGGCAATACAGGTTCCTTGATAAAAAAAAACTTTTTTTTGACATATACGAGTCTTTTTCTTGCTTTTAAATATATTATCGCTCTTCGTCATTCATTTAATTAGGGCAATGATTTTCACAAATAAAAGTTTCAAAACGCATAAGTTTATCCAACGGTCTGTATCACCAACACGTATGATATAAAGAATTATTACATGCTAGAATAAATTCATAATGCTTGAAAATAGCAATTGACGATTTTAATTTATCATTAACTCGCTATATCTATTATGTATTTCCTTAAATCCTTTTGATAATCACTTTTATTATTGAGTAATTTTAATATGTTTGTATTTAGCCTCTCTTTGGTTAATATTCAAGAGGAACGCGTATTTTTTCTGTATAACCTGGTTGATATAGGGACACACTTTTCTTGACATTCAGCTGAATTATCTTATCCAGAAATCCTTTCATTTTAAGTCATTGAAAATTCTACACTTAATTAATGTACCTTTAATTGCAAACAGTTACTCGATCTTACCATGCCTAAACAAATATAATGGCTTCTAAGTCTACATGTATTACACTTTACCTCCCCTGGCTTCCCATCCCTTCAGTTACTATGATTGCATAATTGAGCGGTAAATGCAAATTTGAACTTATAAAAAGCAATGAAACATTATAACATAGTTTTTTTTATGATTTTGAATTTTAATCATAGGAAATTACTCTGATTCTTGGCCAAATAATTCGAGTATAAACTGGTTTCGGTCACTTTACGCTTTTTATAACATTAGAGCCATTCCGTAAATAACTAAATATAATAACTTTTGGAAAAGAATGACATTTTTTTGTTTCTGTCACGACCATTCTTTTTTTTTCAAAGGTAAAGATATTTGAAGAAAGAAAAGCTTTTAGATCTAAATCAGTGCATATCATAGGCTTGATATAAAATTTTACTTACCCTCATGACGTTCGGTATCTGTAATTAAAAAAATAATGTATCTTACGCTTTTGATTACAAGACTTCTGGAATTATATTAAACAGAAATAAAAATGAGATTTATAAAATAATCTCATAAACTGATCATAATTTAAAAACAAATTTACAGCAAAACATTTGTAACTGAATTAAACAGTCTGCTTCTTATTTGGATTGATTAATTGTATATTTTTTTAACGTCCCTCTCGACAATTTTTCACTAAAA